GAGAGAGAGAGAGAGAGAGAGAGAGAGAGAGAGAGAGAGAAAATGATAAGATTATGTATAGATATCATCAATATATTGATAATGTTTATGTAATAAATTTTGAAATTTTTGAAAAAATATTGATATCTTCGATGATGATGATAATGTTGTTTGAGAAAATTGAACCAAACATAGAATCCAAGAAGTCCACTTCATCATATATGAAATGTTTGTTTTTGGTTTTTTTTTCTTCTTCTTTTTCATTTCTTGACAAATTCTTGACACATTTGAATTAGATAGATAGTTAGTCAGAATAGTATACTTGACATTTTCTTATTTTATCGACTGATTTTAAATCAAATAAACAAATATCAAATCTTCACAATCTCTCTGTGAAGAGAGATTTAAAAAGTAATAATATTTTTTTTCAGTCATCGATTTGTTTACATTTTAACTTATCGATTGGAAATATGATTGGAAATGTTTACGAAGGAATTTTGTTATTGATAACATCACATAATGGTCAATAATGAATTCTTACATATGTAGAAAAATGATTGGTTTTTTTACACCTGAAACATATCTGATTTTCCAATGAATAATAAAAACAAAAACAAAATCTTGATAAAATTTGATACATTCTGTATTCTGTATTCTGTATTCTCTATTCTGTGTGTGTTTTGAATAACAAGCGACAACAGCCAGATGTGTTCCTGACATAAAGAAAAATATGACAATTTTGACATTGTTTTTCACACACACACACACACACACCAGCTGGCTTTACAATATCATTATTATTTGTATCCTGTGATAAGATTTTGTTTTTGTTTGTTTGTTTCTAAATTGTTTTTTGTTTTTGTTTCTTCTTTTTTCCAATTTCTTTTATTGATCAATAGGTAAATCGTATTTATGCAACAATATCATCATTAACATCATTTTATCTTCCATTACCAATAATGTTTTATGTTTATTTACGTATTTTATTGGTTGCTGAAAGACAATCAAGAGAAATTAAACAATTGGAACAATCATTACGACAAAATGGTTTTCTTTCAATGAATTATCCCACTACTACCACTACTACTCCCGCAATGCCGCAACAACTACAACAAAGAAAATCTGATTGTCCAATGGCACCGATAACATTGTTACAACATCAATCAACAACACCAACATCGATAACATTAACACCAGCAGCAGCCACAGCAGCAGAAACCGAAACAATTAACAAATCAAATGGACAAAATGTTCATTTTCATTTTAGTTCATTGTTGAATGTAAATCAAATTAATAACAACAATGATAATGATGATGCAGATGAATCCTGTTCACCAAATAAATTATCATTACCATTATCATCAACAACAACAAAACAACAATCATTGAAAACAACAATAAATTATTCAAGTAGTATGGATCTTACTGAATTGGCTGCTATTAGTTCGAAAGGAACTGGTGGTGGTAGATTATCAACAACAACAACAACAGCAAAAAATCATCATTTGGTTGATCAAACATCATTGGAAACATCCAAACGTCATGTTGAACGTAGTCTACGTAGACGTGCACGGCAATTAATTACAGATACAAAAGCTATTCGTACATTAGGAATTGTTATGGGTGTTTTTTGTTTATGTTGGTTAGTTTTTGATTGATTGATTGATCGATTCACAAATGACGTTCATTATCTTTATCTTTTTTAAAATTAGGTTACCATTTTTTATAATGTACGTTATATCAGCTTATTGTGATCAATGTAATATCAGTTATGAATTACGTTCCGGTATTACATGGTTAGGTTATGTTAATAGGTAAGTATCGATACTATCGATTCTTGATTCAAATGACTGTTTTGTTTTTTTTTCTTCTTATTTGTTACACACAGTGCACTAAATCCAGCCATTTATGCTTATCTAAATAAAGAATTTAAAATGGCATTTAAACGTGTTTTATTCTGTATGCCACATTGTAATAATGATAATTTTGATCGTGATACAATGTTGGATGAATATTCTAATGCATCACATCGTCATGTTGGTGGTGGTGGCAGCACTGGCGCTGGTGGTCATCGAACAACAAAACGAATCAATGAACATCATCATTTTGGTTTTATGATCGATACGGATGAAGGTGGTGGTGGCGCTGGTGGTGGACCAGCACGTCAATCATCAACAGCATTAGATATAATTCCATTACCATCAACACCGGGTTATTTAACTCGTACGCCAAGCAATGCTACCGAAACACCTAATTGGATTATTTTACATGCACAACAACATCATCAACAACAACAACAACAACTTGCTGATAACAATGGTGGTAGCAGTTGATATCAATTATTAATGATTTTCTGCCAAAAAACAAAAATTGATAAACTAAACAGACACTCCTACCACACATCCACCCACTTACCTGAAATGAAATGAAATAATGGCAAACACTCCCCCACACACCAAACAAAGAAACATCAACAAATAAAGCAATAAATAAATCATTTTTACAATTTACAAATTCAAATGTTTTTCCATTCAAAATTTTTGCCTTTTGGCTAAAAAAATATATTTCACACCCGCAACAGAAATTGTTTTGTTTTGATTTGAATTTTTTAAAATGAATTTTTTTTCAAATTTGATGAAAGTGCTGCCATCTAGATTCGGTGTTCATTAAATAATAAAATAAAAATTCTACATTCGAATTTTTTTAAAAACAATCATTTTGAATGAAAATAAAACAAATGAAATGTTTGTTGAAATTTGTTTCTATTAATGTTTGCAAAGAACTTCAAAAACTAAAAAAAATGGGTGAAGAAATTTGCAATGAACATCAACGACGTATAGTTGATTTAAAATTACGTGATGTTCTTGTTAAAGAACAACAAAAACGTCTGAAAAATTTTATCAACACTATTCAATCAACAGTAATTAATAATAGTGATATTGAAATTAATACGGAAGATGAATTGAAAAATCTATCAGGATATTTTCAATTAAAATCAAAAGAAGAATATAGTATTGTTGGTCAATTTAATACTGTTTATAGTCGATTATATTTGGCACAACAACAACAACAACCACCACCACCACCACAACAAAAACATCGAAAATCAATAAAAATCTTTTGCCGTATAGTACATACTGATCGTATGTCTGAATCATTTCGACAATATTGGTTAAAAGAAAGTTTATTAATAATGCGTTTTATTCGCTATCAACAACAACAACAACAACAAACACAATTAAATGTACATCGTTTATTACAAATTGTACATCAAAAGGATGATAATCGTTATTATTTATTTATGGATCGTATATCATTATCAACAAGTCTTTTACATATTTTATGGAATAATAATATTGGTAATAATAATAATAATAATAATAATAATGATACAACAACAACAACAACAACAACAACACCGACAACAATATTATTAACAAATTATAATATAAAACAATGGTTATTACAATTATGTCAAATAATTGAATCATTAAATCAATGTGGTATTGCACATCGTTTTATACGGCCAGAAAATATTCTGATTAATGTTAGTGGCGGTAATAATAATAATAATAATAATGTTAATCATCGATTAATGATAACTGGATTTGATATGGCTTGTTTTTTTCATTCATTTGATCAAGATCAACAACCAATACTACAATCAAAACGTTGTTTACCAAATGATTTAATTGAAGATTATCTTTTAGATCATTTACCACCAGAATGTTTTCATGATAATTATGATGCAAGTATGGTTGATGTATGGAGTATTGGTACAATAATATGTTTGCTTATTATTAAAAATAATCCATTTAGTTTAACATTTGATAATGATAAATATGATGATGATTATAATCATTTAAATATATGGCATTCATGTTGGGAACGACGTACAATACCGGAAGAATGGCGTACATTATTGGATGATATTTTCCAAGAATCAAATTGTCGTATGACTGTATTTGATTTAAAATCGGATCATCGTTTATTACCACAAACAACAGCTACTGATCAAGCAACAACAACAGGGTTAAAATCAAAACGACCATATTATCGTATTGATTTGAAAAAAAATCTAAATACAAATGAAAAAGAATTGAAAAAAACTGGTGCTGTTTTGTCGAAAATTCAGCTAGCATATCCGGAATTTTCATCCGCCGTACGAACAATATTTACAACACAACCATATCAACAGATTGAAAATGAACAACATTTATTTGAACAAAAACATTTTCGTATTGAACGTAATGAATCATTTACGGATGAATTTAATTCATCATTTATAAATGATTATTATATGAGATCACGTTATTGTTTGGACGTTAACAATCAGAATAAAAATCATTTAGAGAATTTTGAACAATGGAAAATTGGTTTGGTAAAAATTTTCCCAATAAATTATATACCAAATCGTCATAAAAATATACTTATTAATGAAAGTGGTAAAATAATGAAATATTTAAGTAGACAAATAATGAAACAACGAAGAAAAAATCCTAAAGATAATAATAATAATGGTGGTGGTAGTTGTGTTGAAAAACATGAAGCAACAACAGAAAAATCATCATCAACCAAAATATCATTAATATCGATTGTATCGAATCATATACATCGATTAATCGAAATATTTCGTACAACAATTGAACAAACAAATCATTTGCTGTTGTTTTATGAATCATTATCATCATCTACCGGTGATAATAATGCAAGTGGTAGTTGTAATTATAGTTCATTAGCAAAAATATTTTCATCCATTGATTGTCGATCAATATGGCCATCAATCGTTCAATTGAAACAATTATTATCACAATTATTGGATGTTATTGATTATTTATCACGTAATGCAATATCACATCGTTATATACGTCCAGAATATATTTATGTTGATAATCACTATACAAATTTAAAGCTTGGTCATTTTGAAATGGCATGTTTTATTTGGAATCCATTAGATCGACGGCCAACATTAAGACATCGTGGTTTACAGGATGAACGTGAACATCTTTGGAATCATCTACCACCGGAATGTTTTAATATAAAATATGATAGTTATTTGGTTGATATATGGAGTTTTGGTACTGTTTTACTTTATTGTTTAATACAACAAAATCCATTTACCGTACCACATAATAATCAACAAGCTGAATTATCATGGACAACATTTAAATTACAGGAAAAAGATCCAACATCAATGCAAATACCATCAACATTTTTACCAATATTAAATTCAATATTTCAATCAAGTGATTTACGGGTAAAAATTTCCGATCTAAAACGTCGTTTTAATAATCTAAATCTTATGATTGTTAATAATGAACTAAAGAAAAAATCATCATCATTATCAACATCATCATTATCGACAGCTGAAACATCAATGAATTCATCGAATATTTCAAAATTAAGTCGTATTAGTAGATGGAAACCAAGTCAAATTGCTAATAATGAATATGATGATGATGGTGGTGGTGGTGGTGGTGGATCATCATCAATATTAGCATGTATAACAAGTTTAGAAGTAATGGATAGTAATGCATTAGTACCAAGTTCAAGTGTTCAGATAACAAAATCAATGAAATCTGGATCTGTACATCATCAACATCAGCAACAACCACATTCAGGTAAAATTCAAAATCAATTGAATTTAAAAAAACAACAATCGCAACCGCAACAACAACAACAACAACAACAACAACAACAAAATCGTTTAAAACGATCAAAAGAAAAAATGCATTAAATGTTAACTTTGAAAAATAAATAAATACAATTTTTATTGAAAAACTTAATCAATCAATCAATCAATCAATTGATTGATTGAAGGCAAGATCAAATCAATAATTACAAATTTGAAAAAATGAATTGATTATCGATCAATGATGTGTGTGTGTGTGGGTGGATAGGTGTGTGTTATTCGTGTGTTATTTCGAAAACGAAAGACTAGAATTTTTTTTGTTATGTAAATGTCTCCAGGTATGTTGATGATGATGATTATAATGATGATGATAAGCTTTATTTTTTTCGTTTTAGTTTGTTGTTGTTGTAAAATGTCCAAAGATGATGATGATAATGATACTGATGATGATGATGATGAGTAATGAATAGAGTTTCATTAACCCTTGATTGATTGATTGATTGATTGATTGGTTTAGCCTTTTGCTTTTCCTGTTTTTTGTGTTGTTGTTGTTGTTGATTTTTTCGGTATAGGTATCGATGCAATCGGTAATGGTGGTAGATCGATTGTTGCACCCATTCTTCGTAATGCTAATATTGCATTAACAGCTTTCTGTGTTGAAAAGAGAAAGAAAGAAAAAAAAATTTAACACTTTAGCACTTTTTATATTTGTCATCGCAATGATCAACATATGAACTTTTGATCATTTTTTAGTTCCGCCGAATTAAAAAATTTATTATTCGTCGGTCAATAACCTCAGTTAATCGATAGTTGTCGACCATATCAACAAAAAAAAGGGTTATATTAGACATTTCATTCACACAAGTCTACATTTGAAGAAAAACAAATGTCTACGATCAATGATAAGCAAGCAAAGAAAATCCAAATCCAAAATCGAAAAATTCACAAACTTGTCACTAATCTTGAATAATTAATTGATTTTTTCTTTTGGAAGGGGGCGCTATTTCGAAATTACTTTACTTTACTTTACTTTCGTCTTTCTCTTGCTCTCAATCACTGTATTGACACTAAAAAATCTTTTTTTCCCAAGTGCAAACAGTTTCGAGTTTTTTTAAGAAAGAAAAATTATTGAATATTGATTGTACAAAACTAGCTAGCTGTTATAACGCCCATCATCATCCTAATCGTATTTTGTGTACTTGAAATTATTCTAAAATATTTTCCCAATGATATTTTCCAATGAATAATCAGTTTGATCAATGTCATATTTATCTATCCTGTCCTGTGTCTGTTCTGTTTTTGTTTGGAATGTCTTAAATGTCTCGACGATGAATGTCTTGTTTGGATTTTCTTTTTCCTTATATTCCATCATCATTGATTTATCACAATATATGAAAACCGTCAAAACAAAAGCAAAAACAAAACTTCTTCTTACCTGCCAACGTCTTCTAATGACAAATTTTTTCAATTTTTTCTTATCCAATGATTTATCCATTGGTTCATGTTTCAATTTTTTCGTTCGTGTCTAAACCAAATGAGAGAGGGGCCAAGGAGAAAAAGAAAATCAATGAAAAAAATCAAAAATCAGATTTGTAAAAAGCCAGGCGTCCAAGAAAAATGGGGAAAAAACACATTTTTTACTTTTACCTTTAGCCATGGATGTTTCAATGCTTGTGCAGCTGTTAATCGTTTGCTATAACGTTTGTTTGTTTTTTATGAAATTAATTAGCGAAAAAAATGATTAATAATTAATAAAAAAAACATGATTTGATTTAAAAGAAATAATAATTACACACATACGTTTTATCTTTGACCAATAATTTTGAAATAAAATCTTTAGCATTTTTTGAGATCGGTTCAAATGATTCATCATTAAAATCATAAACAGCTCTTGTTACATTGGCCATTGTTTCTAGATCGCTATCGCCCATGAATGGTGATAGACCAGATAATCTTTAAATGGAAACAAAAAAATCAATGAAAATCAATCAATCGATCAAATGAAAACTTACAAAACATAAGTGATGACACCTACAGCCCACCTGTCCATCATGTTATTTAATTGGAAAAAAGGAGGAGAAAATGAAGATTCGTTAAATTTTTTGTGTGGCAAAATCAATTATCGATTCAAATCAATCAATCGTTTTTCAACTTACATATCGGTTACAAAATCAACATCTTCAAAATTAATAACTTCAGGTGCAGCAAATTCCGGTGTACCGAACATTACCTGTAATCCTTTGTTGAATTGTCGTGCGAAACCAAAATCAATTAATTTTATACGATTACCGGTACGTGTAACGCATAATACATTTTCCGGCTTGAAAAATGACAATAATTTTTAATTAGCAAAGAGAATTCCGTTTTAATGAAGTAAAAAAGGAGTGAAAAAATATGTTTTTTTAACTTACTTTCATATCCAAATGTACAATTGATTTTGAATGAATATAATCAAGACCTTCACATATTTGTCGTACAAATATGGAACATGCTTTTTCTGTTAATACAAAATCATCATCAATAACTCTTTCGAATAGTTCACCACCTTCAACACTGATCACCAATCATCGATAATTGATAATTGATCAAATCAAAGTCCAAACATTTTGATTTTTTTTTTGGGGTTCAGGAACAGAAAAATTGAAAGAAAAAAATTCATTAATTCATTTTTTGTTGGAAAAAGGTTTAAAGTTTACAAAAACAAAAAGTTACAAATCAAAAGTCACAAATCAAATCATTTTTGAAAAAAGGTTATGTTATTGGATTAAGTTTGATTTTGATTTTTGATTGATTTTTACTTTTCAAATCCATACCATTCCATAATCAAACACATTTGATTTTTACCATCATCAAATGCATCATATAATTGTAAAAGACGTGGATGTTGCAAGGCGCACATTATTTCAACTTCACGTTCAACATCTTTACGATCTTGTTGACATGTTGTTTGAATAAATTTTGCTGCTAATTTTTTTTTGGATTTTTTTTCAAAACACAGCCGTACTACACCGAATTTTCCTCTGGATTTAATTAGAAAAATTAATTTGTTTTTTAAAGAATTTTTCCAAAGAGAATTTTTTGGTGAATGTTTTACCTTCCCAATTCTTCGCCCAATGTATATTCACAAGTTGGATTGGTTTTTTTAACACAAACATTACGTGGTTGAAATGGTGGTTCTTCATTTTCATCATCCACTGGATCAGTTTCATCTACGTAAATCATTGTTTTTGGTTTTGGTTTTGGTTTTGGTTTTGGTTTTTCTTTTTTGTTTTGTTTTTAAATGTATTCACAAAAATCAATGGAAAAAAATCATTGCAAAAAACAAACGAAAACAGTAAACAAAACAAGCGAATCAAAGTTGTATTGGCCTGATATTGATTTTGTCGGATTAGTTGATTATCACCAAAACGCACATACACACAACACAAACACAGACATTTATCGAGATTTTCAATCAAGTGTCCACATAACAAACACAAAATAAATGTTGTAAGCGAGAGAGAGTGAGATTAAAGGAAAAGAAAAACGTTGATAACGACGACGACGACAAGGCAACCCAAAAAAAATCTTTAGATACAAATCGACAAAAGAGTGGAAAGATTCAGTTGATCGAGCACATACATACAATACACATAATACAATGAACAAAACAAGAATCACAAGAAAGAATCAAGAAAGAAGAAAGCTAAAGTTGTTGTTGTTGATAACCAAATCAGAATCAGAGAATCATAAAGAATCAAAGAATCATTGCCAATTATTTTAAATGAAGAAGAATATTCGGTGACAACCAAAACAACACGAAAAACAACAACAACATCGACGACGACGACGACAACAACAACAACAACGATGATGATGATGATTATAACAAGGTCAAGAATTTTAAAATGTTAATGGTGATGATAAACAACAACTGATGACTAGAAAGAAGAAAGAAAGAATCCATGTTATTTATTTACAATCATCAAAACATGTAAAAAAGAAAAAAGTTGTTTGTTTTTTTGTAAATCAAGGTTTTTTCCTTCCATCCATCCATCCATCTAGCAAACAGAATCTATTAAGCTAAAGAATTAAAGTAAAAAGAAAAAAAGTTCATTGGATTCAAGGATGATGGTGGTGGAAAAGAAAAAATCTGGCAGTCATTATATGATGAGTGGGTGGTGTTAATAGTGGTGGTGGTAATATCCATTCACAAAATTGATTTTTTTTTTCGTTTGTTTTTCAAGATCGTTTTTTAGAGTTTCCGTAATTGAAAACTATTTATTTTTTGGTAGTAGCGGCTGTGGATGTAAACTGTTGGACGCAAGCCTAGTTTTAAATTTGCAACTGGTGTTATGATGCAGTGGTGATGTGATGATTACACATCATTGATGATCGGATTGCCTTATAACAGATTCGGATGATGAAAATGAATGAAATTTTTCCATTCATTCTCGAATCTTTTTGTTTGCAACAAAAAAACGAAGAAGATAATTAAAGAAGAATTTCATTTTTGAGAAACAAAACACACACACACATTTTTCCTTCGAAAATATTTCGAAAGTAATGAGTCTTTACAATCATAATCATCATCATTATTATTTCATTACAATGCTGAAAAGCAAAGCGATGATAATAAATGATGAGGATTCTGTCATTCGTTTTGTTTCTCATAATGTTTGTTATTGCTTGATGTTTGTTTGTAAATTTTATCTCCTTCTCTCTCTCTCTTTTTATGACTTATGTTTTGAAAATGAAAAAAGAAGAAGAAGATCATATCGTTTGCCAAGAATATAAAATGAAAATGTTGAAAAAGTTTGACAAAATCTTTTCCATTCTCCCTAATCTAATTCAATCTAATCTCTCTCTCTCTCTCGCACACTGTATGACTGTTGAAAAGCTAGTTTTTTTAAAAAGACAAAAAACGAAAAATTTCTTTCCGTCAGGATTTGTGAATATCAATATATTTTATTCGCTCTGTGTTGCATTGGCAATGGAAAAATTGAATTTCCATTGAAAACCTTGAAATTCAACCCAAACACACTAAACACGCTAAACATTCTTTCACATAATGTGTTTAGTGGAGAATTTGTTAGAAAATTCTGTTTTTTTGTTTTGTTTTGTTTTGTGTGTGGAAAAAAGATTAATACAAATCATCAAACACACACACAATTCATTCAAATAATGATTGTTTATGTAGGGAAACAAAGAGAGAGAGAGAGAGAGAGAGAGAGAGAGAGAGAGAGAGAGAGNGCTAAACATTCTTTCACATAATGTGTTTAGTGGAGAATTTGTTAGAAAATTCTGTTTTTTGTTTTGTGTGCTGGAGAAAAGATTAATCCAAAACATCGTATTCAAACACAATTCATTCAAATAATGATTGTTTATGTAGGGAAACAAAGAGAGAGAGAGAGAGAGAGAGAGAGAGAGAGAGAGAGAATTTTTTGGCTTGATGAAATATTTCGTTTTGTTTCGTTTTGTTCTTTGTTTTATTCTTTAAAAAAAAGACACAAGACGTGTGTGTTTGACATGTTTAATTAAATCTTCCGGTTTTTTTTCTTGTTGCTTTGATTTGATGAGGAGAAAAAAAAATTCCAATCCTAAACATCGATCGATCGATTGATTGATTGATTGATGACAATCATTATAAACAACCAACCAAACAAACAAACAAGCAAACAAATCATAACCATAAAAATGATGGCAAAGAATCTGTAGAATTATTTTTCGGGATTTGATTTTTTTGTTTGCATCAATAAAAGATGTTTATTGCATGATGATAATGATGCATGTGACATTTTTTGTTTTTTTGTTTGTTTGTTTCAATGTCATCATCATCATCATCATATTGTAAACAGGATTAATTGATGCGGCTGCTGTTGTTTTTCATTTCAATTCAATTCAAAAATTGAACCGATTTGATTTTTATTTAAAAATTCTCTTTTAACGACGACAAGATGGCGCCACATAAGCATTGATTATGAAATTTTTTTTTTGTTTTCCTTCCAAATGGATTATGATTGATTGATTTTTCTAAAAATCAATTTGAACAAAATCGCGATTCAGTTTTGATGAAAAGAGAATATGATGACAGATGCCCCAATCACACACATAGTATGTGTGATGTGATCTGATCTGATATGATGATTTAAAACTTCGTTTTCTTTAATTATTTTAATCATCTCTCTCTCTCTCTCTCTCTCTCTCTCTCTCTCTCTCTTGATGGTGGTTATTAATTATTATTTTTCGTTTTAGTGACTTGCTATAGTCTGACCGCACTGTCAATCGATTTATCATTTTTTTTCCAATGAAAAAACATATCAAATATCTTCTCTCTTTGCTGTATGATTTGTTTGACACTTTTTGGATTCGAATCCTTCTTTCTGCAAATCCAAAAATTCAAAAACTTTGAATTTCACTGATGATTTTCGAAATCATCATCATCATCAACATAATCGTTATTAAGATATGACCTAGCTCATCTAAACGAAAGTAAAATGATTTTTTTCTCTGACTTAAAGAAAAAAGAAAACTGTAACATTCGAATCCAAAGATGTCAACAACAACGACAAAGAGAGAGAAAAAGAAAAAGAAATCAAAGAGAAAATACATTAGCAATTCAAATTGACATTCCAACTGTAAAATGATCAAGCAAAAACAACATTGATGTTACCTGCTTAGTATCAATTTGTTTGTTTGCTGTTTGTTTTTTATTCATTTTTAGCTACCCAAAACTGAAAAAAAATGACATAATTCATGTTGACTGTGTGTGAGTGTAAATAGCCGAAAATAGCATCAGTTATTTTTTTCTGATAAAGAAAAAAAAATGAAAGTTTTTTTGATTTTCACTTTCCAAAAAATTTTTCTATTTTTGCCATTGAACCAAAAANTCTCTCTCTCTCTCTCTCTCTCTCTCTCTCTCTCTCTCTCTCTCTCTCGATGTGGTTATTAATTATTATTATTTTTGACGATTTCGTTTTAGTGACTAGTCTGACCGCACTGTCAATCGATTTATCATTTTTCCAATGAAAACATACATATCAAATATCTTCTCTCTTTGCTATGTTTGACACTTTTTTTTCGTTTGGATTCGTGAATCCTTCTTTCTGCAAATCCAAAAATCTTTCAAATCTTTCAAAAACTTTGAATTTTACTGATGATTTTCGAAATCATCATCATCATTAACATAATCGTTATTTAGATATGACCTAGCTCATCTAAACCAAATGATTTTTTTCTCTGACTTTTTGTAAACAAAAACGAAGAAAAAAGAAAAATGTAACATTCGAATCCAAAGATGTCAACAACAACGACAGAGAAAGAGAGAAAAAGAAATCAAAGAGAAAATACATTAGCAATTCAAATCAAACTTTACATTCCAAAATGATCAAACATTGATGTTACCTGCTTAGTATCAATTTGTTTGTTTGCTGTTTGTTTTTTATTCATTTTTAGCTACCCAAAACGAAAGAAAAAATGACATAATTCATGTTGACTGTGTGCATATGTGTGTGTGTGAGTGTAAATAGCCGAAAATAGCATCAGTTTTATTTTCTGATAAAGAAAAAAAAATGAAAGTTTTTTTGATTTTCACTTTCCAAAAAATTTTTCTATTTTTGCCATTGAACCAAAAAAATGGTTGACATCTGCATATATGGCATTTGCTTTGAGAGATTCATATATACAGATATAGTATCTGTTTTCTCAAACTCTGATCAATATGGAAAAAGGTAAAAAGTATCGATATGCCAGGTGTTTCAGATTAATTAATTAATTATGAGAAAACAGGATCATAAGGTTCATAAATAAACGTATTCTGCGGGTAATCTTCTTGACACATTGTTCAATTCAAAATCGATAACGAAAACAAAAAAAAATGTTGTCTGCAATGTTTGATTTAATGTTTGGTTTCAGGCATGTTTTCAACGAGTTTTTAATAATAATGATGATTATGATTACAATTCAAGTAATGGTTATCCAAAAAAAACTGTAAAGCTATGGATTTATTTTTTTTTTTAATTCTAATGGACATACACACACCTGTTGTGTGTGTGTGTGTTTACCTGTGTGTCTACCTGTCAATTGATTAATGTGTTTTTTAAAATTTTCACAAAGATTAGATTTGTTTTCCGGTGATTTATTGATAGATTGATTCATTGAAAACAAAATATATAGACTTGATACTTTTACCAAAAACGAAACAAACGATAAATGAATGAATGAATGAATGAATAATATGTTTCATAATTTACAAAAAGACAAGTGTTGTATATACACATCAATTCATTTCAATTTCAATTTATTCATCAAAAACTCAGGGAAAAAAACTGTTATTTTTCCTGTTCAAAAGTCAAGATAATCATATAGTCGAAAGACATTAACAAACTACTGCTGCTCATATGGAGAAAGCAAGAGAAACTAGTCGGATAACAACAAACTAACCAATAGGTAGAAAAAACAAAAACAAATAGCCAAAAAAACTAAAACAAAACGATGCTTTTTTCCCATTTCAGTCAGTGCGAATCTTTTTTTCCCCCCATTTTCAAATGGTTCCAGGACCATACGCACACATAAACGGTCATCCAGGTTGATGATGATGGTTGGTGAGAAAATCTCAACAATCATCAAAACGAAATATATTTGAGAAAAGCGAAAAAAAAGATCGCTTTAGAAAGATTTAACTGTTAACACGGGTTTATTTCATATGGAAAAAAAACGTTTTTTTTAAGTGTATTTTTTCGGATTTTAATTTCCGATCTATAAAAATGGACAACAACAACAACAAGCAAGCAAGAAAAACTGCTGACCATCATCTGTTTGTTTGTTTTTTTGTTCATGTCTTTTGGATTAGATAACCTGCTGTTGTTGTTGTTGATGATGCTTGAAATGGTCATTTTCAGCAAAAACTTTCTCTCTTTCACATCGATTATGGCGACGAATAAAAATCCCGGCCAAAAAAAAACAAGTTCCTATCTGGACGATCTTGTTGCTGTTGCTGTTGATGATTTTTATTATTGATCAATCAATAAAGATAAAAACTAGCGGCAATAACTACTAGGAGAAACTTTCCGAGAAATAAAAAAACAGTGGGTGTGTTTTTGATCCATTTTTTTTCTCTTAATATTTCTTTTCATTACATTTTTTTTCGAAACAAGCAAAATTATCTTTGATCAATTTTTTCTTGATTGTTTCTCTCTCTCTCTCTCTCTCTCTCTCTCTCTCTCTCTCTCTCTGTTCTGATTTGACTTTCTCTTTCATCTTTTTGATTTGAATTTTTCATCGAAAAAAAAATCTGGAATCCTGTTTTTTTGTTTCAAGAAAAAAATGCTGCTGATGAAAATCAATTCTTTCATCATCATCGATCGATCGATCAATCAATGGGAATATTTCTCAATTGAAAATCTCTTTTTTGATTTTGAAAATCCAATAATTTTTTGCTGCTGCATTAAAAAAAAAGTGATAATTAAAATGAATTTTGAATCTTGTTTCATCAGTGATGAAGAAGAAGAAGAAGTTTATTTGATAAAGAGAGATATTTGAGAGATGTGAGAGAGAGGCAAAATAAGTGCATTTTATCCCCTGTACGTGTTTTCTTCTTGATTTTCATTCATTCATTATTTCTCACCTGTACACACATTACCTGTAAATGAAAAATGAAAGTGACCAAATAACATATATGCTGTGTGGTACATGTATTCCTTTTTTTTCAAATGATACCATCTTCATTCAATAATAATCATGATGATAGCCTTTACCACACAGACAACATGATGATGATGATCCAAAACTGTTCATATATTTGATGATCATTATCTTCTACCGCCAGCTATTTCAATTTTTTCAATTTCAATTTTCAATTTCCAAATAGAAGCATTTCACGATTGATACATATATAAAATATTGATTCGTTTGTTTTGTATTTTATCTGTGTGTTTCGATTCCATTCGACCATCAAATCATCAAATCATTGAAGCATCAACGAAGGATAATATCAAAGTGATTCTGTGTTTTGTGCATTTTGCGTGTTTCTGTGTGTGTATAATACTGGTGATTGGTGATGAAATAATGGTTTGAATCCGGATCGCAAGGTTTTTTCTTGGTTGCTTTCTTGTTTGTGTGATTTTTTCTTATCAATCAACAAGTTTTTTTTCATTGTGGTAAAGTTCATCAAATAAGTAATCTGTAAGTTTTTGGTTTGTTTTTATTTCCATCTTTTCAAAATTCATTACTTTTTATTTTTCCGGGATCATTTCTACATTGATGTTTTCTTTTCATTCATTCGAAATTTGCTTGTTTTGTTTGTTTTGTCGAACAAAATGGCAAGATTATAATCATCATTTATGCTTTTTAACATCATCATAATCATTATCCTCAATCATCACAATAGTTTAATAGTTTTGCGAATGATGATTACGATGATCTCTATTATCTGTAACAACTCAAACAAACAATTTATCTATAGATACAGAAAAAAATTACCCGAAATTTTTCTCCAGATAATCGATCAATCGATTGATTGATTGATTATTGAAATATGATTAAAATATGGCAATCATTGAAATTTTCAATGAAAAAAATCACTTTTTTTCTTCCCCTCCGTTACCACTATTTTAACTGATTTACTAACCACCATAGATAGATAAACATAATGTGAAATATAATCACACCGTGTGTGTGTGTTTAAATCGTGTATAATTTTTTTATTTTTTTGCTGTTGTTTTTGTTTTCAAAATGATAATTTGAATTAAGTAAAAAAAGATTATTACATTTTTCTTCCAAATATCTGCTTTCCCTCCCCTCTCTCTCCCCCTAATAACAAAAAAGTGATTAATGATAATTAACGTTATAAAGAAAATAATGATTATCATCATCATATTATATGGGTGGAGTATTTTCGTTTTTCCCTTTATAAAAATTTTATTAGATTTTTTACAAGCTTCGATTTTTTACAAGTTTCGATATTTAACATTCTTATAAATCGATTTTACAATGCATTTTGAATCAAGAATTCAAGTTTGTTGTTTTCTTGAAGTCATATTCTTTTATGACCATCCATCGAATCGAAATTTCCAAATCAGAAAAAACGATGATGATAATTTTTTATGGAGAAAAAAATGGGTGCATAATTTTTTTTCGTTTGTTTGTTATCAAAAAAAAGCCAAAAATGACTCTAGTAGAAATGACAATGTAAAAATAGCCAAAAGTGATAATAATAATAATAATGATCAAGTAATTAACATTTAATAATCATTATTATTGAAGAATTTTCACAAAACAAACACACACACACACAGAGGGGAGAAATAGGGGAGAGATAGGGGGAGATGATAATTTTTCATTTTCATTTCCGTTCGCCTGTCATTCATAATTATCATCATATTTGAATATAAAAAACGTTATGGGTATTGTTTTTTTCCGTTGTTTTTTACTGTTTCTGTTTTCATCATTACTTTATTATGTTTATTATGTTTGTTGTTGTTTCAGCATCATTACTTCTTGTTGATTATGAATGTTTATGATGATTCCAACTGGATGGCCAATTTAAATTGATGATTTCGTAAAGTTTTTTTTTTCGTAAAGTTTTTCTTTTCTATCGAAATCGTTGATTTCGCTGTTGAAAATGACCATCATCATAATAATGTTAGTTTGTTTATCATTTTCTTCTTCTCATCCACTGGATTTGTTTCATTTGTTTTTCAGTTGTGAAAATTAAATGTACAACAAAATTTGATATTTGGATGCCGGTGTGTGTGTGTTTATTACACATGTAACAAAAATCGTAATTTACAAATCGCCAATGTTTTTTTTCCTTACTTTCTTACTTTCTTTTCGACAAATCACGATCGGAAACAAGAAAAAAATGAAAAATTCACACCGAACAGACAGGACATATTTTTTTTATCAATTGTTTTCATCGTTTGTTCGTAACGGTCGTCCACCATATATTAGATTTCCAATAGGTTTTTTTTTTGCTTGTTGAAAAATCGATAAGACTGTGTGTGTGTGTGTGTGTCGAATGGGGATGCAAAAAAAAACAATGATAATAATTATTTTTAATGAATTCAATTTGACATCATCATCATTTCCATCATTTTCTTCTTCTTGGATTCAAGAAGAAGAAGAAGAAAAAGAAGATGATGATGATGATAATGTCAGACATGAGTTGATGATGATGATAATGATGAACTTATGATGATGCCGCATCCCAAATAAATTGGGCCCATCAATATACATCATGACATGATTATTATTATTTTTTATTGTACATGGATGATAATGATGATGATGATTGAGAAAAAAAAATGAAGAACCTGTCTTTTTTTATTAACACAATTGTCGTTGTCGTTGAACAAAAAAAAAAATGATTTATTGATGATCATTGATGTTTGTCCTTTGAACTTCTTCTTCTTCTTCTTGATGATGAAACCTGATGTTCTTTGTTGTTGTAATGATCCAAAACGAATGAATGAATGAATTGATTGAGAGAATTGTCAATGATCGATTTGAAGTTCATCATCATCATTATGATGATTTTGATTTTTGATTTTTAATGAAATTTTCATTCATTTAATGAAAATTAGTTTGATTTTTTTCCATTCATTTCTAATCGTTTCATTTTCTTTTCCATTTTTTCTTTCAAAATCCTTTTTCATCAGCACAGCAAAGCCCAGATTCCAACATTTTGAAAAATTTTCATCCAGTTTTTTCTCGTTCTCGTTCAAGTATCTCATCCACTAAATCAAATCAACTTTTTTTTTTGTTCAACAATTTAATTTGTGATATTTTCTTTATCGAAAAACAAAGCAAAATAAAAGTCTATTGATCAATCAATCAATCAATCAACACCTACCCAAACTTGTTATGTAATTGTTTTCTTTTTTCTTCAACAACAAAATTATTCTGCCTGTGTTTTCTTTTTTTTCTTCAGCCACCTGTAATGTTCAAGTGTTGCTGCTGCCAACAAAAAACAACTAACACGTTATCGAAACACTGCCCCATCTAAGCATCCAGCACTGCCTATTTTCGAGATTTGTTTTTTCAAAATTTTGTGAATAACCGTTTTTTTTTGTTTTGTTTTGTTCAAACAACGGAAATAACAACAACAACCAATAATGATCATACGATTATTCATCTGTGCCATTTTGCAGGTAAGATTCTTGAATTTTTTTTTTTGGTTTTACCATCACCATCATCATCATAATCGATCGATCAATCAATCGATCAATCATATAGTGATTATTATTGATTTTTTTTTATTGATTTTCAATTTTTTTTCGGACAAAAAAACATAACGGTCAATGAAATTAAATGTTTATCGATTGTGTTTGTTGTTGTTGTTGTTGTCATCTTTATTTCATTTCGACAACAACAACAACAACAACCACGATAATACCGTTAATCATTATCAAAATAAGGAAAAAAAATTCAGAAAGACATCAAGATTATGATGAGAATTCTTTTTTCCCTTGTATGTTTTCTTTTTTCTTCAAAATTGTTGTTGTCGTTCACGATAAATTATCAATGACAAAAAATTTTTCAAAAATTTTCATCTTTTCGTTGTTGTTACTGACCAATTTGTTACGTTGTCTATGATTATGACAAATGCTGTTTTTTTGATTAGATTAGTTTTGCTTCGAAAAAAAAACATTTCCTGTAATTTACAAACAAACAAAACAACCAATTTTTGAACAAAAAAATTATTATCCAATTTTCATTTTTTGTTACATTTTTTTGGACAATTTTTTTTGACTTAAATTTCCAATTTTTCTTTGCTTCCTAATACAGAATTGAATGAGATTTTGATGATTTTTTCATCCCCGTTGATTATGATTATAATGATGATGATGAGGTCATTGATGATCTTAAATCCATTCGCTGACCACTATCATCTTGCACTGACCATTTTGAACTGATTTTTTTTTGAATTTTGCATTTTTTTTGACCATTCATTATCGATATCGTATATGATATCCATTGATGATGATTACGATATGACAATAATTAAATTATTTTAATTTTTTTTATGAAACTTAAATTTCAGTTCAGAAATTTGAATTTTTTTCTGAATCCAAATCACGAACGAACGAACGAATCAATGAATGAATGAATGTTGTGTTTGGCCATTTTTTGATCTTATTGGATTGCTGTTGTTTTCTTTTGCAAATGAACTGACCTGTTGATTGGATTGGAAATGGATTTAAAGAGAGAAAAATCTTTTCGAAAGTTATTAAAATTAATTCATTCATTTTTCTTCTTCTTCGTCACTTCGGTGGTTGGGTCATCAACAAATATATCGTCGTTTGTTGACCTAGTTTTGTTGTTGTTGTTGTCCCTCTCTCTATATGTCAAATGATATTGTCAATCCCGAATCACTCATTAAGGTAATCATTAGTCGATTTCTGGTTTGGCTTATAATTTGGTAACAGAATTTATGAATGATTGATCCCGAAACTTGGATTTAGATTGCGTGATGATAATTAAATCATCATAGTAATCATATAACATATGATTATTAACACTTTACTTTCTCCATTAACCAACAACAATATTCAATAATCATCATCATTATCGACATGATTTTTTCCAAAAGTTTGTCCAGTTTGCTTGAGTAAAAACTCGATTAAGTCAATGAATGAATGAAAAAAAACCAGAAACTTGATTGAATTTTTGGTTTTTTTCCCTATCATGACTATCATCATCATCATCATAATCTAAATCTGAATTCAATCTGATAATGATGATTACTTAACCGAAAATAGTTTCCGAATTGCAAAAATGAAAGGAAAAGTTTTCGCGTAAACGTAAGAAGAGTAAAGAAAACTAATTTCGATTAATAATCTCACTTTCTCTGCCCGGTGTATCCATGATGATGATCAGATTGGGAACCAAATTTATCCGAAAAAAATAATTTATTTACAACTTTTTTTTTCTATTAATAAAATGAATGAAAAGAGAGATGGACGATTCACAATTTTTGACAATCGATACTCGATGATGATGATGATAGACTCGATGAAAATTCACTTAGATTTCACTTTCTGCTTTATCATCATCATCCATTTATAATCGACGATAATTATTCATTAGTCACACACACACGCCTATCACTGATTCGATCACTTTCGCAATTTCGCCTTGATTGTTAACGAATGGTTAAGAAGAAAAAAAGGTGATTATTAATGATTTAGTTTCCTTCCGGTTTTTCTTTTCCCATTCAATTCTTTTTTTTCAATCTTTCGATGACAATCGGTTGGCCATCATCATTGAAAGATTGAATTCCATTAATTTTCTCACACACACAAACAAGCAAGCAAAACTTTTCTTGTCGCATCCAATCAATCATCATCGTCAATTTGTTTCATCATCATCATCACAATCAATCTTCCCTCTCTCTCTCTCTCCCTCCATATGAATTCTTTGATTTATCAATTTTAAATTTTCACAATCACATCACACAATCATTATCATCGCAATCTTTAATTGAAAAATTTCTTGTTTTGTTTTGTTTTTCGTTGTTGTTTCTCCAATGACAAACAAATCATAAAATTCAAAATTCAAAAAAAATCAAAATTTTGTTTTGTTTTTGAATTTTGTCAAAATTCAATTTAAATTCATTGCTTGTCACCTTGTAATTAGAATTTTATCGTTTTTTGTTTTTTCGTTTTTGTTTAAAAACAAAACAAAATGAAAAGACAAAAAATCTTCTTTGATCGATCGATAAATAAATCGATTGTATCGATAGTTGAGAACAATTATGAAATAATCATAATAATCATAATCACAATCAATCATAATCGGATTGACATCGATTTTTTTCATTTTTTCATGTTCAATCCGATTGTGTTGTTCAATTCCCTCGACAATACACAATGTATCCACTTATTTTGTTTTGTTGCACTTGAATCTTTTCTTTCTCTTTCTCCATTCAAAGGGAAAATTTGTTTTGGAAAACGACATAAGTGAAAGTGAAAACGAAAAACGATTTTCCGTTTTTCCGTGAATACACAGTGGCAGTCAAAAAAAAATCAATATTTTCAAAATGATGATAATCAAAAAATCTCTGTTTTTTTCCGAGTAAATTGATCGATTGATTTGTCTTTTTTTGTTGTTTTTCAATCATATATCCAATTTCAAACAAACAAAAGCAAAAAGCAAAAAACAATGATAAATCCAAATAGATTTGTCATCTATCCAGCTGATTTGCATATCCATCTTTCATCATCATTGTTTTTTGCTTTGTTTTTGCAAAAAACAATTTGGAAAATCCATCCAATGGATCACATATCGCGTGTACATATCTCTCTCTATGTTTATGACGATAACGATGATGTTTCAATTACAAATTCAGTGAAATTTTTTTCCCTCTTTTCTTCCCCTTTTGTTTTTTCCCCTCAACATCTTGACATCGAAATTCTCACACACACTGTGATTTTTTTTTCTCGAAAACTAACTAACTAACATCATTCTTGGGAAAAAGAAAAGGGAAAACAAAACACAAAACAAAAATAATTTTGTTTTGTTTTTTTAATGAATCAAATTTCAATAATACAAGGTTATCGCAGCAATAATATCGCAATGTGTGAATGTTGTTTCAATTAATCAAAAAATCCTTTTTTTTCAATGTGTTTTGTTTTTGGCTGAATTTAAAATTCAGCCAATCATCAATTCGGCCCTGTCAATTTGAATGTTTTTTTTTTCATTTATTTTCTTCCAAAAAAATGACCTTTTTTTTGAATTTTTTCCCCCCATTTCTCTCTCTATCTCTCCATCAATTGGATTGATTTTTGATGATTGATTGGATTGGATGATAACAAATTATCGCAAATTTGAAATAATATTTTTTTGATGCAATTATGATGACCATCATCATCATCGAAATCGATTATTATCGGATATATAATGTCATGATCAAATTTTGTTTTGTTTTGTTTTTCTGATGAGAAACGGAAAGCAATTTGAAAAAAACATCACTGTTTTTTGTTTGTTGTTGTTGTTAATGATTTCTGTTTTCAAATGACAAAATGTCCGAAAGGCAATAGTTCAATATCGATTATATCGATTATTATGATTAAGTAGTTTAGTAGAAAACTCTTTGATTTCCTTGTATATAGATTGATTCAGGTTTCTGGATAACAACAAAAAGCACTCGATTAAAGGTCGAGCTATAGGATTTCGAAAAAGAAATGATAATAATTTCTTTCCGATTGTTGTTGTCAAACAACAACAACAACAACAACTAGGCATTTAAGATGTTAATGATGATTGGATATAATCAAATCACCTTTGATTTGATCCATTTATCGTATTGCTCGAAACTTATTACTAATTTTTTTTTTGCTTCATTAAAATTTTAAATTCAAACTTGTTTTCTTAATTTTTTCGTGTGCAAATTCAAAGGAAAAACCCAAGGTCTGTTTTTTTTATTAATTTTATTATTACACTTTATCATGGATGTTTCGTTTTGTTTTGTTGCCAAGCGGCCCTTATACACAAATGGATGGAATGGAAATCAAGACGCCCAATCATCATGATGATCTCTGATGTTTTGTGTTCAATCTTAATGATCGCAATCAAATGAAAATGTGTTTCAATTGCCTTCATTTTTATAATGAGATTATCATTTTTTACCTTGAAAATTTCATTCATTTTTTTTATTTATTTTGTTCGTCTGTCCAATCCAAAATACATCTTATCAATAAGTGCAATCATCATTACCATCATCACTGAAGAGAAAAGAAATTATTTTTCATTTTTTCTAAAAAAATAAAAGTAAACCATTCAAACTGTTAACTAAAAGATGGCCAATTTCTTCAACATAATTCAGATGATGATCATAATAATAATAATTATTCGTACACAATCGATTGTCAGATGTTGATAATATCGATAATGTTGTCCATCACACACTGTTGTTCATTATGGCCGACACTTTTTTGTTTGCGAAAGGTGGACCGACTGTTTTCATCATTATTTTATCAGATTTTTTTCCTTTCCATGATGACGATGATTGATTGATTGATTGATGAGATTATTATCTCATCCCACCATAAATGATGACATGGTTTCATTTTCTTGATTAATATTTGATTCGAAATCCAATTACGAGAATGTGCGGTAACAAGGAAAAAGAAGGGATTTTCAAAGATTACCTGTGTGTGTGTGTGGCAAAACAAGAACACCCTGTAAACAATCGATAGTTTCTCTCTTCTTTCTTCAATCTCCATCCAAAATCATCATTATGCCAATTAGCATTTAGAGCATGGCCAAAATCAATCAACCAACCAACCAACCAAATGATGATCATTATCACACCTTTCTTTTCTTTTTGTTTATTCAATTAAGGTTAAAATAGAACTAATTAATTAATAGCTGCTTTCGTGATTTAGTGGTTGGGTATTTTATTATTCAAAATGAAATGATTTTCAATGACTGTTTCCACACAGAAATGGATCACACAGTCAGCCAGCACACACACAGCAAGTCGCCATTGAATTTGGATTATGGCAAAGAAGAAGAAGAGAGAAAGCAAGACGAGAGAAAAACCTTGAAACAAATCAAATTCATCGATCGAGAATCCAGAACAAAAATCATTTCATTTTCATCATTTTCACACGAAATTGCCTTTGGCAAATCGTTTTATCATTGATAATTTATCTGGTTGATGTCGAAAAAAAACAGAAAAACAGAATAATTTTGTCAAAACTTTTACTCCAAAAAAAACAAAAATGATAATTTAATGGTAACATTTGTTTGTTTGTTTGTTTGCGTGTGTGTTTGTTCCTTCTAATAAACATGTTTAGAATTTATAATAATCTGTTGTCGATTTGTTCAAGATTTTCATTCGTAATCCATTCCATTGCAATGTTTTGGCAAAAAAACATTGAATTTTTTTTCTGGAAATTTGCCGCAAGCGAACGGATTTCGTTTGTTTTGTTATTATCATTGTTCGGGGACAAGTTGGCCACTCCTGTTTCATATTTTTTTGATCGATCGATGATTGATTGATTTTATTGCATGATTTGTACCTTGTTTAAAACATTTTTCTAATTCTTCTTTTCTTCTTTTGTTTTTCAAATTTAACAGTTTAGCATAATTGGCCTAACATTTGGTGTTGTACCACAGATACAACGATTAAATGTACAATGTGATCGTAATGGTATGAAAGTTATGGTCGAATTCGATAATCAATTCAATGGTATTATATTTTCAAAAGGACATTTTAGTGATCCAAATTGTCGGTAAGTTTCGTCTTTTTATTTCACTATCATTTTTCCAACATTTTCTTATCTTTTCCTGCATTCAAAACTCACTGACTGACTGACTAATCATTCAAACACACACACAGCATTTCTGTTTTAAACATCCTCTTTTTTTCACATTTCACAAGATTTTTGGTCATTTGATCTACTTACTTTACTAATATTTTTTATTACTAAACGCACAGCGTGTTAATTAAACTAAACCCATTGATGATGGCAGGTTGGTGTTACGGAATTGAATGAAATGAATGAATGAATGTATCTTACACACACGAATCATGTAATAATATTAAGTAAGCCAAACACTTCTAAAACTAAACTAAAAAAATCGACTAAAATCCAAACATCAAAATGCTAAAATAAAAATCTAAAAAACTAAAAAAAAATTTATCTAAAAAAATGACTAAAATACAGAGAGAGAACAGGTGAAAATTTTCCTTTTAAAAACCAAAAAACTTCTATAGATGCTTATGTTGATTGTTTCTATCTTTTTTCTTCTTATTCTTTCGATCATGGATTACGCCTGAATCGGATGCAAAAACAAAAAAAATATTTCTGNGAATTCGATAATCAATTCAATGGTATTATATTTTCAAAAGGACATTTTAGTGATCCAAATTGTCGGTATGTTTTTCTTTTTATTTCACTATCATTTTCCAACATTTTCTTATCTTTTCCTGCATTCAAATACTGACTGACTAATCATTACTTACTTACTTTATTGAACTAAACACACAGCATTTCTGTTTAAGCATCCTCTCTTTTTTTCACATTTCACAAGATTTTTGGTCATTTGATCTACTAATATTTTATTACTAAACGCACAGCGTGTTAACTAAACTAAACCCGCACAGTTATGATGGCAGGTTGGTGTTACGGAATTGAATGAATTGAATGAATGAATGTATCTCACACACACACACACGAATCATGTAATAATATCCAGTAAGCTAAACTAAACTAAAAAAAAATCGACTAAAATCCAAACATCAAAATGCTAAAATGAAAAATCTAAAAAAACTAAAAAAATATCTAAAAAGAATAACTAAAATACTGAGAGAAAGAACAGGTGAAAATTTCCTTTTTTAAAAAAAACTTCTATAGATGCTTATGTTGATTGTTTCTATCTTTTTTCTTCTTATTCTTTCGATCATGGATTACGCCTGAATCGGATGCAAAAAACAAAAATAATTTCTGGATTTCTGAAAATGAAAAAAAAACTCTTTTTTTCCGATTGAAATTAACCCTTCGCCATTTTCAATCAAATGAAAATCAAAAATGACTGAACTAATTAACTAAAATCAAATCAAACAAAAAAAAACAGTTATGTAAATCCATCTGGCGGAAGAAATGTTTATGAATTTTTTGTATCATCATCATCATGTGGTACAATGTCAAATGAATTGATTGCAACAACTAAAGGTGGTGGTAATGGTAATGGTGGAAAAGTACCAGAAGGTTTTAAAAATGTAATCATTATACAAAATGATCCAGATTATCAAGAAGTATGGGATTCAGCAAGAAGATTAAGTTGTGATTGGGTACAACGTTTAGAAAAAACAATAACATTTTCACCATTTGGTGTTGATATGTTAGGTGTAAAAGAATTACGTTTCCCCGGTGATACAGTTGATTGTTGGATGGATATACAACGTGGTCATGGACCATTTGCACCAACCATTGGTGGTGTTGTACCGATTGGTGAAAAATTAACCGTTGTTATTTATGTTCGTGATTCGGATAAATCATTTGATGTTCATGTAAAAGATTGTTATGCATATGATCAACCGGATTATCGTAATCCAAATGCACATGCAATTAAGCTAACTGATGAACAAGGTTGTCCATTAAAAGAAAAATTGGTTCAAGGTTTTTTCCGTACACGTGATGTACGTAATTCTGGTGCAACAATTATTGCTTATGGTATTATAAATGCATTTAAATTTCCGGAAAAAATGGATGTATTTCTTGCCTGTAATGTTGAAGTTTGTAAAGGTGGTTGTATGGAAAATGTTTGTCAACCGGTTGTTGAAATTGCTGGCCAAGATTCAGTTGCAGCTGCTGCTGCTGCAGCTGCTGATGCAAATGCAGGTACCGAACTAACAACAACAACAAGTTCAACGGATGATGATGATGAAACGTCAAGTACGGAAGCACCAGCCGCTGATGATGATAATGAAGATGAAGGAGGAGATAAGGATGATGAGGAAGAGAAAAAAGAAGAAGATAAACCTTCAGACGACGATGAGGAAAGCAGTACTACTTCCTCTGATGATACAGATAAAACCGATACGGATGAAGAAGAAATTGGTGGTGATAGTGAAAATGGTAAAGATACGGATGAAGATAGTTCCGCTAGTAGTGGTGATGATGAAGAAGCAAGTACTTCCGATTCATCATCCGATGATAATGGTGATGATGATAAATCAGAAGATTCCGGTTCATCAAGTGAATCAGAATCGAATGGTACTGATGAAGAATCTACTAGTAGTACCACTAGTACTGATGATGATGAAGAAGATACTACTACCGGTGGTGGTGGAGATGATGATGAAGAGAAAAAAGAAGAAACCACTTCCGATAGTGGAGATGTAGATGAAGAAGCAGAAGAAGAAAAAAGTGAAGATAGTAATGGTAATGGTGGTAGTTCGAATGAAGATGAAGAATCCAATGGTGAAGAAACTAAAGCCGCTGATGATACGGATGCAGAAGAATCAACCGATAATGATGAAGAAAAAACTGAAGATAATAATAATGATGAAGAAGAAGAAACATCGACGACCGATTCAAATGGTTCATCATCATCGGATGTTGTTGCGGGTAAAAAAGGTGGCAGCACCGGTACCGATGAACAAACTAAAGAAGGTGATGAAGCTGAAATTACAAATGGTGATGATAATGAAGATGAAGAAAGTGAAGAAGAACGAAAAAAACGTAGAATATCAACATCGCTTAAATTAAAAGCTAAAAGTAAGTTACGCTTTTGTATGAAATTCTTTTGATTTGATTTCTAATCTCTTTTTTGCTTCTTTTTTGTCAAACAGAATCAACAAAAGTATTGAAACAAGGTAAAAAAGGAAAAAAATTAGCTAAATCAGTAACATCAGCTGCTGCTGTGGCTTCTAAGCCGGTTGTTGCTAAAAAACCAAAAGCCAAAGCTTCCGCATCAAAATTAGTACGAAAATCGATACAGAAAAAAACATCGCAACCATTACGAAAACAGCCAGCGAAAAAAATTTTAAAACGAAAATCCTCCAACACCACCACCACTAATGGTAAAAAACCAGCAAGATTGATTCGAAAACCGGCACGAAAATCTAAATCATCTTCACGATTAGTAAGAAAAGCTAAAACCACTAGCCAAAAAGTTGGTAAAGTTTCTCGACCTATTTTGAATAAAAGAAAAAAATCCGGTCAATTAAAAGTGAAAAAATCATCGACGACAAGAAGAAGCAATAACCGAACTAGTAAAGTACGTCGTCCATCATCGACATCAGCTAAATTAATTCGACCAATGCGTCATATTCAGCGATCATCATCATCGGAATCGGAATTTTTATATCCATCATCACCAACCGCAATACCAATTGAATTACAACGATTATCCGCTACAATGCAACAGAATCCAAACGCTGGTATTGTTAATGATGGACGTCATATTCGTACACGTCGATCAATTCAATTGAATGATACAAATTTAATGAATGTTACATTTGCACCAATGATGCATTCAGTACAGATTATATCACCGATTGAAGATTTTGATGAAAAAGAATTGAATGCATGGGAAAAAATGATGCAACTGGAAGGTAGTGTTGAATCAGTTGATGATTATTCGAATGATTCGGATGATGATCGTATTCCATCATTTACAATTGCAACAACATCGGTTACAAGCAATAAACGATTATTATCATTGAATTCTGGTCATCATCATCATTCATATTGTTTTTCACGTATACATTTAATTACAGCATCTATAATGTTATCATCAATAACCGTTATATTGTCAATGATATTATATATGATTGGTTCATATATTTATCAACGACAACAACACCAGCAACAATTTCTTAAACAACAAAATTCGGTAACCAAGGAAAAAATTTCCTATTTTTCCTATGCTTAAAATGACTGACTGACCTGGAAAAAACACCTGTAAAATTCTTTTCTTTTCTGTCCAATTCAAAATTCCAAAAATTCAAACATTTCTCTTTTATTTCCCATTTTTCTCAGCAAAAACAATATTTGTGCTCGATGAGCGTTAGTCAATTTTCTGTTTCTTCTTCTTCAAAATTAGTTTTTTTTTCATTTAGATTTTATTTTCGGTAGCGGCCAATTCGATCATTTTTGGTTATTTTTATTTTTGGCAATTCTTCTTCTTTTCAAAGATTCTGTTTTTCTCTTTCTTTTTCTTTTTTTTGAATTCTTTCAACGAAAAATAAATAAAAAATAAAAATTTTTTACAAAAAATAAAAATAAAAAAATTCTAAAATTTTTAAATTTTTAAATTTTAAAATTAAAAATTTTAAAAAAATTAAAAATTACAAAATTTTTTACTAACCAAAAAAATATTTTTTTCTCTCTCATCCACCTCCATCCACCCCCATTCACTCTCATTCCCCCCAATTTTAATCCAATAACCACCTCCGTTTCCTCCCACCGAAATGTCAAATCTCTCCTTCTTTGATTTTACTAATTTCTAAACATTCACCCAACCCTGTTGCCTTGCTTTGCTTATTTCCACTTTCAAATAATTTTATTAACCTTCATAAAACTGGCGAAATAAAAAAATCCTAACTTTTTCTTCAACCAAAAAAAATTGTAATCTAATCCCAATGGAACACCCCACCCCCCGAAAAAAATTGACCCCTTTATGTGTATTTTGGTGTACCAACCTCTTCTGCTGCTGTTTCTTCTTTTTGTTTTTCAATTGCGTAATCTTCTCTCTGACCCAAAAATTTTTGTTTGTTTGTTAATGCGTTGTTGAAAACAACGCATCAAAAACCCCCCAAAAATATCCAACTTGTTGTTGTTGTTGAATGTACTTTTGGTCAGCTATATCAAACCAAACACAAGTTCACAATCATTAGAATTTCAAATACCGGTTGATCAATGTGGTACAAATACATTAGATATTGAATCAGAAAATGGTGAACCAGCAAAACGTGGTTTTGAAAATATTGTCGTTTTCCAGAATGATCCAATATATCAAGAACAATGGGATCATGCACGTATGATGGTTTGTAGATATTCAATGGATGATGATTTTGATTCAAAAGATAAAAGAGTTATATTTAAACCAATTGTTATCGATATGTTGGATGTTGTAAGCGTAAGTTGTTTGTTTGTTTACTTTGAATGTTTCTAGTACGGAAAAATGTATGAAAAATCCTCATTTGTTTTTTTTTTGACCGTTACAGATTCCAATCGAAGATGAAGATGGTACCCAATCCAGAGTTGATTGTTGGATGGAAATAACTAAAGGTCGTTTTCCACATACAACCGATATTGATGGTGCTGTTAAAGTTGGTTCACCGCTTACATTAGCAATTTTTGTTAAAGATCCACGTAAACGTACTGATATTCGTGTTAAAGATTGTTATGGTAAATTAATTTCTGAAAGATTTCTTTCGGAAAGATTTTTCATTTTTTTTTAATTAAACCAAATTAACCGACTTTTTTTTAATCTATGTGCAGCGTATGATGATCCAAAAATAGCCGAAAGTAATGGACCAGCTTTGCTGCAATTAACCGATTTTGATGGTTGTCCAAATCGACCAAAATTGATTGAAATCTGGAAACGAACACAGGATACTGGTGATACTGGTGCAACAATTATTGCTTACACTACGGTTACGGTATGTTTTTGCGTTTTCGATTCGTCAAAATTGAATTTTTTCAAAATTGAAAAAAACAAATAGGCATTTAAATTTCCTGATCGACCGGATTTACAACTTACCTGTAATATTGAATTATGTCGTGAAAAATGTTCATCACGTTGTACATCTGAAATGCCTGATCCAACAAGTGTTGGTGCATGGACAAGAACAACAGTGGATGATGGTTCTACAAGCGGTGATACCGGTACTGCTGCTGGTGATACGACCAAAGATGATGCGGAAGAATCATCCGCAACAGCCGATGAAGATGCTAAAGATGACAAGGCCGCTGAAAGCGAAGATGAAGAAAAAGAAACGACCGATGAAGAAAAGGATGAAGAAGAATCCACGGATGCTGCTGATGGTGATGATGAATCATCCAAAATGACTGCTTCGGAAGAAACAAAACCAGCCGAGGATGAATCGGAAAAAGCTGCTACTGATGATGATGAAGAATCAACTGCAGAAGATGAAAGCGCTGGTGAAGAAGCTACTGCCGATGAAGAAGCAACTGAAGATTCGGATAGTGAAAAATCTGCTGAAACAGCAGCCGCTGAAGAAAGTAGCGGTGGTGATGAAGAAACTACAGCTGAAGATGATGATGCTAGTGAAACTACTGCTGATAAAGAAGCCGAAACATCTGGTGAAGAAGAAGCTACTGCTACTGATGATGATGCTGATAATGAAACCGCTGATGTTGGTGAAGATGAAAATAAATCTGAACAGGAAAAAGAACCAACAGGTATGGCCGGTAGTGAAGATGGTGAAGAATCTGCTGATACAGCCGCATCAGGTGAAAATGAAAGTGAAAATGAAACGGCTGCTGATGATGAAGAAGCAGCGGAAGAAGCGGAACAAGATGAAGAAGCAGAAGCAGAAGATGAAAAGAAAAAAGCCAGATTACAGGTAGCGCCAAAAATAACCGTAGCTAAAAAAGTTTCCGCTGCTAAATCAACGAATAAATCAAAATCAAAATCTGCTTCGAAAGCTAAACCAACAACAACAACCACAACGACGACGACAACAACAACAACCACAACAGCCGCACCAGTTAAATTACGTAAATCATCGAAAAAACCAAAAGAAGCATCACGTCAACGAAACAAAACATCGAATACGCCAACTACACGTCGTGCACAAATAATGGATACATCGGAAAATGCTGTTGATGAAATACGATCTGCATCGGCTAAATTGCAACAAAAACAACCAACTGCTGCTGCTGTTGCATCCAAAAATCGTAACAAAAAACAAAGTAAAGCAACACAATTAAAAGATGTATTGCCGCAAACGCAATCATTGATGGCCAATCATATGTCAACGACAACATTGCGTCCATTGAAAGTAATGATGGATTCATCATCATCATCAAGCGGCAAACAAAAATTAGCTTCGAAAGCGGCAAAAAAATCAAAATCAACTAAATCAACAGCGTCAACAACAACAACAACTACAACGACAACAACAACAACTTTACCACCAAAACCAATGAAAAGAATGGCTAAACAAAAATCATCAAATCAAAAAAATAATGGTTCAAAATCGGCTAATCTTCGACGTAATACACGTCATAATTCGGCCGAACAACAACAAATTGATGAATTGAATAATCAAAATCAATCATTGAATAATAATAATGGTGGTGGATCTATGATTAATCCACGGCAATTATCACCATATTATATGGGTATTGTTGATGATACACCATATGAAATGGATGCATTACGATCATTCTATGCATATTCAAATTTTCAACCACAACGTATACAACGTAGAACTAGACGTAGAATACGTTCAGTTGATCCAATAAAATGGTCTCATAATAATGATAATGATAATCATCAGCAAAAAGGTGCCACAATATCATTGGGTGCACGTGTAATTTCCGGTTTAGAAATAACTATGTGATCAAACAAATTCAAACAAAACATTGCCATTAACACGCACACACACAGAGCAGGATAGATTTCTTCTTTTTTTTGATTAGTCTTTTTTGATTAGACAGTAAAAGCGAATCCAATCATCAAACAAACGAAAAAAAAGTCAATTTGGAATCCATAAAAAAAAACAATCGATTGGGATTCATGTAGTTTTTTTCCCCCTTCATAGAGAGATTTAGATAATCGATACAATCGATAGTTTGTTTGTTTTTTTGCCACACAGGTATCGATGTAATTATAATGTAGAATTTTTTTTCTTTTCTTTATTTGTCGAAATAATGGCCATATTTTTCCCCTTGATTTTCCCTGATTAATTATATCACCACTTCGTATTATGCAACCAAAACAATCTGAATGATGATGTTTGCCTGTAATTTCGTTGTAATTTTCTTCTTTTTTTGTTAATTTTTTTTATAAATTTGGCTGGAAATTTTAATTTTTGTTGTAATTTTTTATTATTATTATTATTGTTATTTTGGTCGTTTATAATCTTGTTTTGTTATAGAATAATAATCCAATAATGTATTGTTTATTTAATAAACTTTGAAACAAATAGAGAAAATTATTCATTTAGTTATCATTGATTGAACGCACTCTAGCGGTCAAAATTCTGGGTCAAGTTCAAATGGTTTTAATGTTTTGCTTGTAAAACAACACGTGCATCATTTTTTTTTTGTTTTTAAAAAATCGCGAGCAAAACATCAATCAATCAATCAAGAAAATGTCCTGGATCATACATATGGATCAATCGTATCGTCATCCGTATTGTCGTCGTCCGTATGAAACAATTTTTGATTCTGAACAAAATTTTTTTGATGGTAAATGTTGTCATCAACATGCTGTTTCATCTTCATCATCATCACCAGCAACATCGAAATTAAATCTAACACTATTGGCGGATAAATTTGTTGGAAAAATTGTTGAAAAACTATCGATTTTAGATCTAACCAGACGTGATCACTGTAAACAGAAAAATCATGATGGAAAAGAATCATCATCATTGAAGAATAATAAACGAAAAATCTGTGAAGATGACGATGAAGCGTTTTGGCCATTCATCAAACTAATCATATTTTTCATATTAACAATCCTTTTCTATTATCTAATGTTCAGTATTGATCAACGTCATCGTCATTTATCTTCGCTACAGAATGGATCAATGTTTAATGGTCAAGCATATCATACGAATGGTACAAATTATTTCTTTTGGAATCGTTCAATGATTTCCATTGAAAAAATTACCAACAATAAATCTATTACTATCGGTGATTATTTGAGATTACCGATCGCTAATCAACTACGTTCATCGATCGATAATCAATCATCATCATCAACAACAGATGACAAAATGATGGACGATAAACAATTTATTCAATATTTATTCAATAATATTCAAATGTGGATCGATTAATTCGGTTTTTTTTAAATTATTTCTCGACTTGTAACATTTTTTGTTTGTTTTAAAAATTAAAATTAAATTAAAATAAAATAAAATACATTCTTCTTTTGTTGGGATTTTTTAAAATTACAAGCGACCATAATCTAAAACAAAATGATTCTTTTAAGCTTTCTTGGGTTTGGAAATCTGTAAACGAATAAAATGAAAGTATATATCACATGTTGATCAAATTATGCTAATGATGATTGCTGCTGGATGATCGATGAATGTAACCTCTGGACGTAACATCTGGACGTTAGTTTTCAATAAATAAATAAATAAATAAATAAATATAGTGTCTATTTAATCACAATTTAATTGACAAAATGATGATGATTGGATGACATTGATGTGAGTGAATGATATTTTGAAACTAAAATACGAATGAATGGATCAAAATTGAATATTATGGGATGATGATGATGAAAATGGTGATGATGGTGGTGGTGGTGGTAGTGGCGCGATTCTTTCCATTAGCGAACTAAGAGGTAGAATGTATTTTTGTAGAATAATGTTTTCTCTGGTCAGATTCTTGGTGTTTGATTGGTTTCAGATTTCGTGAATGATAATTGTAATGATGATGGCTGTCCTAATTCAATAACCGGATATTGTACATCGAATGAAGGATTATCAAATGAATTTTGTTGCTGTAATGGTTTTATATTGGATGATGATGATTGTTTATTATTATCATTTACAATATTTATTGGATCGGATAATGTTTGTTTTAATTTTGGACGTAATTTTATCGGTAATAAAGTAATATTTCCATTCGTTTGAATTTTATTATTGTCATCCGTATTATTATTGGTCATTGTTGACGCAGTCGTAGTTGACTGCGATAAATCACCATTTAGCAATAATGGTGGATTAGCTTCCAATATTGATGATGACTGTTGTTGCTGTGATTGTTGTTGTTGTTGTTCGGCGGCCATTGCTAAACGTGATGATTTCCTTCGTTGTAATTTTTCAATATTTTTATGTGTTGGTCCCCAATTTTCTGATGGTTGCATTAATAAATTGATTTTCTTTTGGAAAAAAATGATGATAAAAATTGAATGATTTTTGATCGATCCAAAGATGGATAAATGGATAAAGCAACTTACCTGTGCAATAGATTTATTTTGACCACCATCATATGAAAAATAAGTATGTAACATTGTTATAATGATTATGATTGTTGGAATGAATGCTAATATCCAACCAAATATATTTGACCATTCAGGATAGATATAATCACCACTTTTAGGTGGTTCATGTTTTATCCAATTGAATATTAATAGAAACTGAAAAATTGAAATTTGGTTAAGAAAATCAAAAAAGAAAAAAGCAAAGTGAGATGAAATACCTACCATCAATATGGATGGTGTTATATATTTCCACATAATCGACCATAATTGTTTCCAACGTTTAGTACGATGACCAATCATTTTTTCAATATCACGTATAAATCTTTCTGTACCATAATACCAAGCAATCAATAAACATTCAGTAATGGCAATAATTAATACGGAAAAATTTGCTGCATAATGATCAAATAAACCAAGCCATAATACACCGCTTTGTGTTGTGAATATAATACCACCAGCATAACCAACTGTAGATACTAATAAAAGAATAATAATTTTATGATCACGTAATGATGGAAAACGATCCAATACAGCTGTTTGTACGGTTTCAAGCAATGCAAATTGTGAATCCAAACCCAATGTTATAAGCATAAAAAAGAATAAAAATGACCAAAATGGTGATACTGGTAAACGGGCAACTACTTCGGGATAAACCATAAATGCCAGGCCAACACCTTGATCAACAACTTCATCAATAGCAACATCCATTTCATGTGCAAGATAACCAATAATTGAAAATACAACAAAACCACTGAATATACTTGTACCAGCATTTGCAAACAATACCAGAATTGAATCACGATAACAATTATTTGTGAATTTATTATATGATGCAAGTGTTATTAGTCCACCCCATGCAGGTGAAAGTGCAAAAAATACCTGTACGGCTGCATCACCCCAAACCTTAATCAATGTTGAAATATATGATATATAATGTGGTTGATTATTGCGCATTTTACAAATATCAAAAAGTTACTTACATGAGCTGCAAATAAACGACTGAAATCCGGTTTAACATAGAATGCAATACCTTTCATTGCACCGGGTAATGTAATACCACGTATAAATAATATAACTAATACTAAATATGGAAATAATGCTGTAAAATAAACAACTTTACCGGATGATTGTACACCTTTGCTTAAACAAAGAAAAACCATTATCCATGCAATCAATAATGATATAAGTAAATGAAATTGTATATTTCCAGTTTCATCGATTGTTTCAATATTGCCCAAAACATAATTATTAAAATATTCATCAGCTGGTGCTTTTTTTTCCATTATTTTTGTTGTTGTTGTTGTTGTTATATTTAAATGTTGAGCAGTAATTTGATCAAAACAAGTACGATTATAATATGTTGCATTTGGATCATTAGCCAGACAATCATCTTTTTCTTTATATGAATAACAAAGTTCTGAACTCCATAATGGATCACAACGTGACCATGGCAGTTCTGGTTTTAATGATGCATACATATAATATAATGTCCATGCAATAATCATATTATAATATAACATAACGATAGCCGATACAGCAATCATTCCATAACCAAGACCAGCAAATAATGGTGAAAAATGTTTATAAATAACAACTGGACTTAAACTTGCATATTGACCAAATGCTAATTCCATAAACATTAATGGAAAACCAACCAATAACATCATTACGATGAATGGTATTAGAAATGCACCACCACCATTCGAATAAACTAGATATGGAAATCTTATTGAAAATCAAAAAAAAATCAAAAAATCAATCAAAGATTCAAATCAGAAAATTCAATCAATATTTGAATTTTACCTCCAAACATTTCCCAAACCAACTGAATAACCAATTAATGATAGTATAAAATCAAAACGTCCTTGCCATGTACCACGATCTTTTAATGCAATGGATTTTTTTCTTTTTTTTGGTACACGTTTTGCCGGTGGATATGGTGCTTGTCTATGTTTTCTAGCACGTTCATTATCATCATCATCATCATCATCGTCATCGTCGTCATCGTCATTTGGATCGGGATAATCTTCTTCATCATTTTCAATTTGTAAATCATAACCAAATGACATATCATAACCACCACTACTGCCACCAACTTTTGGTGATAAAGGCACTTGTGAATCTACACGTGGAAATTCCGTACACATCATCATCATCATCATTGTATTATTATTATCAATATTTTCCGATGATGGTTTCCCTGGTGAAACAAACTAACCGGGAAAAGATTTTCACATAAAACAACAAAATAAACAAAAACTTCTATAGACACATACCTTCCAATCATAATATGGACGTAATCGTATTGTTTCGGATTTTTTTTCATCAACATCATCATCAATATCGATATTATCATCATCACCATCATCATCATCGATTACTATGTTTGTATTATCCATGATTCATTCATTTGTGTATATTGGGTTATATATCCGAAATGACCATCTGAGTGTGTAAAAGAAAAAGAAAAAAGAAAAGAGAAAATCAATGAAATGTTTATTTACCTCTGTGTGTGTGTGTGTGTGTGTGGATCAAATTTCAAATTGATTGATTGATTGATCACATATCAATGATCGAATGCGAAATGATATTTTTTTCTTTCATTTGGAATTTGATGGAATTTTTTTTCCCAAGGCAAATTAAATAATGATAATGATGACTGATTTGACTGGACCACTGACAAATTAGAATCAGAAAAAAACAAAAACAAAAACAAATACCTATTTCCTAATGGAATCGTATTGCACCATAGAGAGAGAGAGAGAAGAGCAAAACAAAATAAACTTTATCGAATTTCATCATCACCATCATCAACAAAACAAAACAAACAAACAAAACAAAACAAAAAAACAGTGATGTTGTTCACAATTGATGAAACAAAACTCCTACACTGTTTCTTTTTCATTGGAATTTTCGTTTTTCCGTTTGGTTGTTTGTTTGGTTGATTGTTGTTGTTGTTTGGTTGTTCTACTTGGTTATGAAACAGAGTATCAATATCGTTTACAAAATCGAAAATATTATCTGGAAATTCCGAATGCTAATTTATTATTTTGGAACAGAAAAACAAAACAAAACGATCCATCATCATTATGATTTTGGAACATTCGATGCATATAATTTACATTATTAATTATGGATAGAATGATGATGATGATCGTCATCATTAGAATATTGTTTCCTTTTGGGAAATGTTTTGGAATTTATGTTTTTTTTTTTGGGGAATATTGCTCATTATCAGTATCATCATTGTTTGTTTTTTTTGTGAAATCAATGAAATTTTGAATATAAACTTTGAAGAAGAAAAAAAAAATCATTCAATTTTCGATTTCAGAAAAGTTTCTAGGAAACTTACCCAGAAATTTATGATGGAAAAAATTATAAACATTACACACATCCAGAGAGATGAAGATGGAGAGATGTTTTGTGGCAAGAAAACACAAGCACTATTTTGTTGTTGTTGTTGATTGAATTCTGGATTTTGAAATTTAAGTTTTTTTTTTGGTCGGACAAACGATCCAGAATTATCAAACACTGAAAAAAAAATAATCGTTGAAATCAAATGATGAGAATCTGATGATGAATGAATGAATGAATGATATCCGTTCAATGTAGTCGAACATCATTGAACACATCACACTGAATGAATGAATTTTTTACGCCGAGAGAGAGAGATGCGCATCATTGGAAACCAGAAAAAAACATTCGAAATGCGCCGGATTTGAAATATTCATTTCGATTCTTTCAACAAAACAAAAAAACAACAAAAAACAAATTTTACACACAAAATTCTCTACCCGTACATCATCAAACGGTGAATGGAATATGAAACTGTTGTTCTTCGTTAGTTTTGTGTTTCGAATGATGATGATTGGTTACGATTTGAAGGAAATTAGCATCACTTTTTTTTGTTGTTTTTCAAATTTACACAAAAACATTTTTAAGGAATTTGATACGAATGATGATTATGATTATGAACCAGAAGCAAAACAAGCATAATACCGTTACGAAAAACAATCCAGAAAAGCAAGATTCTGTTCATCCATCCATCCACCCACGCCAAACACATCCATCTTGAAGAATATTTCCCCCCTCCAATAGAGAGAGATTCTATATAGATTTTTCTTTTGATAAATTCGAGAATCAGAATAAACCAACCGAGAGAAAGAAGGAAAGAAAATCTAGCCGGCTATAGCCGCATCATATGATGTGATGTGTACAACCAACCAACCAGCCAGACTTGATTATATAGCAGAAACACATATATCACACATATATATAGTGGAATTTGATTATGAAATTTGTTCAAATAAAACTTACAATGTAATAATAAGATATAACAATGTCAAGGTCAAGAATGTTTTCTTCCACACATTCATTTTCAGTCATCTGTAGTTGATCAGTAAGTAAATAAGTGGTTCGGTTATATGGCCGTCGTCGATGATAATGATGATGATGATGATGGTTTTCGGCGACCCTCTCTCTCTCGATGTTTATATGGAATTATCGTCGGCGTTGTTGATGATAATCCACCCTAGAAAAGAACATTATTATCGATCGATCGATCGATCGATCCATAACCATGAAACTAAGGCGGGAAAAAATGAAATTCAACGCATCAATTCGAAAGCAGACAAATCTTTTAGCCTTGACATTTACAATATATCGAGATGATGATGAACAAAAAACTATCAAGGTTACCAGAGAATCACCAGAATCTATTTATCATCATCATCATCATTGGCATTGTTTGCCGGATGAGAGAGAAAAAGAAATGTTTCTGTTTTCTGTTTGCCGGATGAAATTAGTTTTATATGCGGGGCCAGAATCATCGATGTTTGAATGAAAAGGAAAAAGTTTCCCGAAAATCATTCAATGGTTTTCAGGAAAATTTCCTTCTTTTTCCTTATTTCATCAAAATAATTAACACTTATTTTTGAAGAAGAAAAAAGTCTAATCGATTTTCTTTTTTTTCATTGTTCAATTTCGTAGAGAATTAAAGCAATAATGGAAACAAAAAAATCAATTTTCGTTGGAAATTCCGTTTTTCGACCAAAAACTATTAATGATTCGCGATTCACAACAATCGATATTACAGTATATCGATTATAATCGATACTGTCAAATTGATCATCCTTTGCTAATGAATGAAAATCATTATCAATTTTCTTTTCTTTTCTTTTCTTTTCATTCAAACTATTATCGACAGGCAACGATAATGATCATCATCATCTATTTTGAAAATGTGTGCGTAAATCCTTGATTGACGACATGGAACAGCAACAACAACAACAACAACACTTTTATTGACGCCATTCATTACCGAAATTATATGAATGAAAGAAAAAGCATCCTTCCTTCTTTTGGGTTGTTTAAAGAAAGAAAATCTGAAATCTTAGAATGAATGAATGAACATAGCGTAAATACCGTCATTGTACAACAACAACAACAACAACAAGACCTTATGACGTCACGCATGATGATCATCATGTTTGTGCGATTCATTCAAACAAACCAAACCGAACCGAAAAAAAAGGAAAAAAAAAAGAAACCGGATTCGCTTAAGGGCCAACCAATGTAGATGTAATGCTAAAAGGCCGATTGAATATTGGAATCGTATCGTTCGGAAATTTCTTTCCCTTCACTACTTTTAAAATAAACTTAAATCGGGTTTCTTATTGACCGAAATGATTAAAATGTTTGTTTTTTTT